CCGCCGGCGGCGCGGGCTGTGTGACCTTGGGCGGCCGCGTAACCTCTCTGTTCCTGGCCCGCTCGGCCGCGGGCCGAGCCCCGATGGTCCTGCCAGGCCGGGCTCTGGGCGGCGGGCTGCGCCTGGCATCTTCTGCGTGGGCACGGGGTGGGGGATGGAGCAGCCCTGCCGGGGAGCGAGCGAGGGAGCCGCCTGGCTCAGGCCGCCTCTGCAGCCCGCACCCTGGCGTCCGCTGTTTGCAGCAGCTGACGTCATACGCCCATCTCCACAGTCGTCCCCGCTTTGCAGCCTAGACCCTGGGGTGCGGAGGGGCAAGGGGCCGGGCCCGGGTGGCGCAGCTGGTGAGCAGCAGAGCTCAGACCCCAGGCCGGAGGCTGAGCCGCTGGGGAGGCTGGGGGGAGGCGCTTTCCTGCTCCCTGACACTCCGGGCTCCCTTGTTGGGCTGCGGGCAGGGGCTGCTGGCCCTGAGGCAGGCTGGGCCCGGTGGGTGCTGGAAGCCGCACCCTGCCTGTCAGGGGGTGTGGGGGGCCAGCTCTCCCCTGGCCTGAGCTTCTGAGGAAGTTGGGGAAGGGGAGCCTGGGAGGGGTGGGGCACCTTGGTGGGCGGAGCTTGGAGAAATCTGTGGTCTCCTTGGGGAGGTGGGAGGTAGGAGAAGCCGCTGGCTGCTGCCTGTGACCAGGACTTGTCACCCCACTGCCCCAGCGCCTCCCCCGCCTGGCCCCCCACCCCCGCCCAGCCCATGGGCCTGAGTGGTTAGGTGTGGAGCCTTGTGCTGTGAGACCCCGGCTGCATTGCCGCTTTTAGGTTTAGGGAGGTTGTGGAATTTGTGAGCAGCCCAGCTGGGGAGCTGCCCTTTGGGGTTCGGGGTGGCAGTGGAGGCTGTGCTTCTGTGCTAGCACCTCCGTTTCAGCCCAGAGACAGAGGCTGAGTAGCTGAGTAGCCGGAGGGGCCGCCCAGCCCTGGGGTGCAGGCAGAAAGCTGTGCCTGGGCTGGCAGGGGCTCTTCAGAGGTTCCCTGTAGGGGGGCTCGTGGGCTTCCACCCTGGACTTTGTGGGCATCTTGAGGGGGACTGGGGTCTTGGAGGTTTCTAGCCCCAACGCAAGTCTTGTTGGTAAGGCGCTTCTGTCACAGATGGAGCCGAGGGTGCCTGGACTGATCCAGGCCAGGCGGCTCCTCCCCTCGGGGCCAGGAGACCCAGTGGGGGCCCGTCCCAGAGTCCCCGAGATACCGGGGCTGTTTCTTACAAGAAGTCCCACCGCAGGCTGGTCTTCCCAGCTCCCCCCCCCCCTCCGCTCCTGGGCCTCACAGCCGGTCTCCCCTGAGGCACCGCCCCGCCAGGGCCAGGTGGAAGCGTGTGTCAGCCAGGAGCGGATGGCACCCCAGACAGGGTGCCCCACCGGGACTGTCAGCGCAGCATCCCGGGCGTCCGTGTCTCCGACCGCGGCCCCTGGAGCTCTGGGAGGCAGGCGGGAGCCCCCTGCCCACGTGGCCAGTGCAGGCTGCGGACGGCCGAGTGTCTTGCTGAGCCCCTGGGTGGGTCCTGAGGCCAAGCCGAGCGTGGGTGTGGCCCCACACCTGTCCTGCCAGGCTCCCGGCCCCAGCCAGGCCTGGTGCTCCCGAGTGGGCAGCACGGACAGACGCCCGTGCCACCTGCCAGCTGTGCTTCTGAAGCCTGTCGTGTCACCCGCTGAGGAGTCCACTATGTGGGTGATGGGAGGACCCACGAACGGGCCGCCGAGTCCGCCCCACCACCCCCTGGCTGCGGCCAGGGCCGGCTGTGGGTGTCGGGTCCAGGGCTCCTGTGTGAAGAGGCCCAGAGGCTCAGAGAAGGCAGGGACTGGCCACACTGGGGCGGGGCCACGGGGACTGTCACCGAGAGGGAAGCCCGGCCCCGCCCCGGCTGGCCCTGCTTGGCCTCGGGCAGAGCGCGGCCTCGCTGGCGAAGCCTGTGACGCGCGCGCCTCTCCCACCCCGCCCACGGGAGCTGCCCACGGGTGGCCTGGCCCCGCCTGAGGACAGGCGTGAGGACAGGCAAGCAGGGAGGGCCCCGCGGGCTCAGGCGGCGAGGACAGGGCGCCAGGGCACCGCCCTGCTCACAACCGGGCTGGGCGCCAGGTACCGCGGGACGGCGGAGGCTGTGGGGCGGCAGAGGCGCGTCCCAGCAAGCAGGGCCAGAGGTGGGGTGTGCAGGGGTGGGGTGCAGAGGTGAAGGGGGCGCAGAGATGGGGTGTGCTGAGAGGGGTGCAGAGGGCTGGGCTGGGCACAGGGCGGGGGCGGGGCGCAGAGGTGTGCGGGGCACCGGCCCGTAGAGACGACCTCAGCAGGGGTGAGGCGCCCGGAGCAGGGGCCACCTCCCTGCCCTGTTGGAGGGTCTCGGCTGCTTTACTGGGAGCGGACGCAGGGGTGAGGGCGGTGGGGAAGGCCCAGCTCCGTGGGCGCGAAGGCAGCCCGGCAGGTTGTGGGGGTGCGGGGATGAGCCCTCTCTTGGTCTGCGCAGCGGGCAAGAGCGGTGTGGCTGTGGCTGGGTCCAGCTGCTGCTCGCTTGGGGTGGGCGCTGGACCCCCCAGGGTATAGGGGGCAGCCGGCGTTTCCGGGGTGGGCGCTGGACCCCCCAGGGTGTAGGGGGCGGCCGGCGTTTCCGGGGTGGGCGCCGGACCCCCCAGGGTGTAGGGGGCAGCCGGCGTTTCCGGGGTGGGCGCCGGACCCCCCAGGGTGTACAGGGGGCAGCCAGCATTTCCGGGGTGGGGTGTCAGGGTGAAACAGCTCAGAGCAGGGCTGTGGGGGCGGGTTATAGCCTCAGAAAGCCAGTGGCCAGTGGGGGAGGTCAGCAACTGCGGGTTCTCCCCTGTGTGCACCATTGACGCCCGCCCAGGCTTGGAATAACAGCGATGGGGTTCATTTAACCAACGGGGAACAGAGCCAAGGCCACAGGTAGCGGCTGTCTCACCCCAGGTGGCGGCCACGGTGTCCGGAAGTCCCCGGCAAAAGGCCACTCATCCAGATGGCACCGTCCCCTCAGGAGACAGGGCCTGCAGCGCCCGGAGTGGCCAGCCGCGGCCAGGCCCAGCTGGAGGTGCCTGGCCGCCGAGATGACCCCGCAGCAGCCCCAGCCGCTGCCCAGGGTCCAGTGGGCAG